CCCGCCCGCACGGGCCCGCGGGGCTGGGCCCGCAAGCCTGGGTGGGAGGCGGAAGGGCTTGCTGGTGCCCACTGGGCTGTCTGCGCTGCCACGAGGGCCAGGCGTCAGCAGGCTTTTTCTATAGCGTCTGAGGATTTTTTAAAAATAACCCTTACAAATTACTCATTAAAAAAAATCTAGGTCACGGGGCCATCCACTGTCGCTCCCTAACCCTGAGTTAGCCCGTCTGCCTCTACTGAGCCTCTTCTCTTGCTTCGAAGTATTTTCACACTTTCTGGCTGCCGGACACCAGGCGAGTCCCTCCACCGGGGCCAGGGCAACAGGGCAACAGGGCTTCTGGATTCCGGCGCGGCTGCCCCGGGGCCCGGCTGGGGCTGAGACCCACCTCCGCCTCTGCCCACCAAGGCGCTGGGGAGCCAGAGAGAAACAGGAGGCGGCCTTTCTGGCGGAGGAAGGGGCGACTGTAAACATCTGTGAGGCTTATCAACAGTCTTGCTGCCCTCGGAGAGGCCGGCAAGAGCGCTCTGCTGAAAGCTGCTTTTCCTCCCCAGTTACAAGTGGACGGGAGCTAAGGAACCTGAGTGCGGGGTCACCGCCGGCCCCCGCCAGACCTCCAGTGCTCGGTGCCACGCACATCCGCAGCGATGAGGCTTGGTGGGGTTACGGGCAACACAAACCTCATCAGCAAAACCGGGACCCTCGTCCCGCAGACCCCCGCCCCATGCTGCGGGGACACAGGCCGCTCGGTGGCTACGGCAAGACAGAGACCGGGTCTGGGCACACAGAGGGGCCTGGGCGGCGCCCGCCACCCTGGTGGAGGGTTCCCAGCGGCGCTCGGTGTAGCTGGCTTCGAAGTCCTTGACCTGTGGGGTCCCAGCCCAAGCCAAACAATTCTTCTGGAGAACCCTTCTCTGACACAGCTTGATTCCCTGCAATGAGCCTTGGTCATGACTGTATTAAAAAAAAAAAATGCACAGCAGGAAGAGGTAGGACTTCCACCGCCCTTCACGCGTTTCCTCGTGGGGTGGGGTGAGCGGAGGGGCCTGTGGGGCGCCACCCCCGCTGTTGTGCTGGCAGCAGCTGGAGCAGTTGTGCGCGTGTGCCCTTCCGCCTCGCTCATCTTCAGACGTGATGCTCCTGGACCACACGGCGGGGGACGGAGCGGGGTCTCCTGGCCGACGGCTTCAGGATCTCGCGGCCACACAGCCGCAGCCCCTCCTCGTCCTGCTGTGCCCAGTGTGCCTCTCCTCTCGATGGCAAGCAGGGGGACAGTCAGGAGGACGCCTTAGAGTCACCGGTGTAACGAGGGGCCAACCGGGAGCCACGGGGGTGGGGAGCGGGGTCCGGGGAACAGGAAGCCCAAACGCAGCGGCGGGAGGCGGGTCAGCTCTTGCTCGTCCACAAGGGGCTTTTCAAGTTTTCTGGGGCAGTTTTCCCTGATGGTTGAGAGGTGGCGGCTGGGGTTTTCGGGGTGGCCTGGTGCTCCTGCAAGAAGGAAGACTCGCCTGTCCTGGCGTCCTGGGAGTTGGCAATGGTGGACACGTCGGCCTCACTGGCCAGGTCTTCTGTGGAGAAGTCGAGGCTTCCGAGCTTGGCGAGAGAGTGCGAGCGTTTCAGCGGGGACGAGATGGTGAGGCCGGCCAGCCGCAGGCGGGTCTCGATCTCCTGCGTGCGCTGCTTCACCAGCCCGGGCTTCCCGCGGACGCTGTGGATGCTGTCGCTGCTGGAGCTGCGGGTCAGGTTGGAGCTCATGGAGGACGAGGTGGGGGTGTAGCAGATGGTCTTCAGAAAGTCTTTCGAGAAATGAGTGGTGTGGTCCAGGCGGCAGAGGAAGGCAGGGGGGCTCCTGAGCGGGGCTCCTTCCCACGGGGCAGGGGTGGCCGCCGCCTTCCCGTCGGCCCGGGCCTGGCCGGGCCGAGCCGGGTCCTGGTCCTCCTCGGGGACGCTGGCCCCCAGCCTGCCGGCATCATCCCTGCACGGAGGCGCTGGGTCTGTGGGCGCGCCCTTCAGCCTCTCGAGCTCTTTGGTGTGCTTGCGGACCAAGCCTGCCTTCTGCAGCTGAATGATGGACTCCTGGTGCTGCATCAAGTAGCTGCTGGCTGTGGGCTTCTCCGACTCTTTGCTGAACAGCAGCCGGAGGTCCTTGGCTGGCTTCGGGTCTTTCCTGGGTGGTGATTCTTCCTTCACTACCTCCATGCTGGGAGGGTTCTTATCACAGTGAGAATTCTTCAAAAGGAGCGGCTTTGGCAGGGCAACTTTTGGGGTCTCTCTGGAAGATTCCGAAAGGCCGGCTGGCAGCCCGGGGGCAGCCCCGGCCCCAGAGCCCCCGGGGTCTGTTCCCCTGGAGCCTGCTGGTGGTAGGGACAGGGCAGTGTCGGCGGGGCCCAAGGTCAGTTTCTCCAAAGCTCGGGACCGGCTGGACGCGTGGGCCGCGGGGGAAGAGGTGAGGTGGGGCAGGAAGCTGGGCTGGGTGCAGATGGCAGGAGCGCCGGGGTCCTGGCTCCGCCCCGCCGGGCACTCAGGTGCCCCACCCGCTGCAGGGTACACGCAGTCGGCGCAGGATTTGTAGGGCGGCTTCACTTTGTTCAGGATCCCGAAGAGAGCATCACGCTGAATGGGGACAAGACCAGGGTCAGTGTCACCAGGAGCCGAGACGGAGGGGCCGGCCGAGGCCGCGCTCACCCGTGCGGGCCTGGACACTCTGCGCCACCTGACTGTGGGTGACGCCAGCTAGTAGAGCTGCCAGGCCAGATGTCCCTCCCCTCCCCTCCCACCCCTATGAGCCCCAGAGCCTGGGCGAGCGTCCCTGGACCACGTGGCCACAGTGGGCTACAGCCATCAGAGCGGGGTCTCCCTCTCGCCCTCCTGCGCACTGGGATCCTTCCTGAGCCCTGGGGCTCTTCAGGAAAATAGGTGAGTCGCCCTCACGGCTCTGAGAATGACCTGAACCGGCACGTCGGGTGCGCAGCTGCCTCTCCCTTCTTTTCCTTGGGGAGACCCTGCACTCGGGGTGGCAGCAGCCTGCGCTGGACCCTCCTGTCCAGCATGGAGGGCTCTGCTCCAGAGAAGCATCATCGAGCTGTGGTCTCCGAAGGGATGGCAGTGGGGGGGCGGCTTTGGAGACACCTGAGTGCAGCACCCAAGGGGGTGCCGCAGCCCTGACAAGAGGGGTCAGGCGGAGGGGGCTCATGTCTCCATGGGAACCACCTGTCTCTGTCCCTGGGCGGGGCGGGGCGGGGGCAGGGGCGGGGTGGAGTGTGAAAGGAACTGGGCACGCACCTCTACACCCCCTCTGAGGCAGCTCCCCTGGGCCGTCCTGTGGGCTGAGACTGGGTGGAGAAGAGCAAGAGCGCAGGCAAGGGACCCCCCTGCCGAGTTGTTCTGCCATGAGCACCCTAAAGTGGAGCCTCTGGGCCAAAGGCTCACGTGGCAGGCTGCTCCAGCCGCCTGAGGCCTGGGGGTTGCCCTTGTGTGGCTAACTGAAGCTCCGCCCAGAGTAAGACGCTGAGGCCAGCCAGTGCTAGATGAGCCCAGGGGAGACTCCTGGCTCTACGGGGTGCGTCAGGGAGCAGGGTGGGGGAGGCAGGAGCCTGTGTCCTGAGGCATCTTCTCATGGCCGGGATTCCTAGGCTGGCTTCCAGCTCGACCAGTGAGACAGGTCACCCTCGTGGTGAGGTCTGAACTCCTGACACGGAAACTTTCTGAACTCTGACCACACTGTCTGCATTTTCATTTCTTGTAAAACCTTTAGAACCTGATGTCCTGAGATGTGCTGAAGTTATCACAACGGGAGGCTGGAGAACACCCTCCAGAGCCCGGGGTGACAGGGCAGGGGGGGGTCCCTTTATCCTGTTCGAGTTTAGGGAGTCCGGAGGGCCAGGACGTGCATCTGCCCCCAGCTGCCGCTCCCCACCCCCCGGGGGAAACAGTCCAGAAAACCGTGCAAAGACCTCCAAGCCCTCCAGAGCCTCCCGGAGGGATCATGCCTCGGCCAAGGCCTGGGCCAGGCAGGCGAGGAGGAGGCCCGAGCACAGGGTACCTGGTGAGAGGGGCCGGGCAGGAGGGGCGGCAGGCTGTGGCTCTGCACAGACCCCACGCGGCGCCTTTCTGTCCTCGCGCTCCTGCCTGCCTGCACGCCAAGGGCCTGTCACCCTGCCCCGACGCCCTCCGTGGCCCTGTGCCTCTAGGACAACAGCAGAGCGCCGCCATCATGCTGGGGGCCTGTGGGCCCTGCGCACCTGTCCACGCCCACCCGGGCCCCCGCCCCACTGCCGTGGTCCAGCTCCTGCCCTGCATCACACGGAACACTGCCTACCCTCAGCCTCCCACAGACTCCACCCACTGAGTTATCCGCAGCGGTAGCCCTCGCTAGCCCGGCCCCGCAGCTAACAGACACGAGCTGATGGCGTGGACCTTTGCCCGTCTCTAGGCGCTGTTCCCTCAGCGCAGAGCCCAAGCGGGGTACCCTGACGAGGGGGTCAGGCGGAGGGGGCTCATGTCTCCACGGGAACCACCTGCCTCTGTCCCTGGGCGGGGCGGGGGCCTGGTGGGGTGTGAAAGGAACTGGGCACGTGCCTCTATACCCCTCTGAGGCAGCTTCCTAGGCTGTCCTGTGGGCTGAGACCGGGTGGAGAAGAGCAAGAGAGCCAGGTGATGTGTCACCTGCAGCAATTCCAGCCAGGAGGGGCGGGCTGGGGGTTGCTGTACGCTCTCACCCTGGCTCTTCTCAGTTTCTCGCTCTACAACTCGCGCTTTTCCATTTCAGACTAATGGAGGCACCCAGTCCTCACTTAGGGGCTTTATGTCATTTACCTCAAACAGGTATTTGCTCCTAGAGGGAGGGGTGAGTGGTGGGTGAAGTCATCACATGAGTATTTGGCTTGGAACATGCTTTAGGGCCAATTCCCACTTTGCCTGGTCGCCACAGGACAGAGAGGCCTCTGCTTCTGTGCGGCTCAGACTGCCCCTGCTGAGGCTTCTTACTGAGAATGGCAGGGAGCCGGGGTGGGGGAGGGGAGGGGACAGGGGGCGCCTTGGCCGAGGCCCGGAGGAACAGGGCAGAGCAGGTGGCACAGTGCCCCCACCCCAGGCCGGCCTCTGCCCTGGGCCGGGTCCCTCGCAGGAAGGAGGCGGCCAGTGACTCCAGCCAGGGCGCGGCTGAGGCCTCGCAGCGGACGACCCACCAGATATGCCAGCTGGTGGACGATGGTGACTGGAGGATGCTGCGGAATTGCCGCTGGCTTTGGGAAGGTGGCGGCGGGACTGTGCCGTTACCTGAGAGGAAGCACTTATGCACGGTGGGAAACGTGGGATTTGGTTCAGGACGATCCTGGGTGTGGGGCTGTGGGCGAGGGCTGAGACACAGTGGGAACCGCTCGCAGCGGCGGGCGAAGCTGCGGGGTAAGTTAGGCCTGCTGCCTCACAGAGGAAAGCTGGAGGGCCTGCCCTGGCAGGAGGAGGCAGTTCTCCTGGGGGCCCCTGGCCCACGCGTCCACCTTCCCCGGCAGCTGCCCAGGTGGCCGGCGCAGCAGAGACGGCCCCGGGGCGAGGTAGGGGTCGCTCGGCACCGCTGCCCCACAAGGCCCCGCTCCTACCTCGAAGTCTTCCGGACAGCTCCTCTTGCTGTTGTTGTTATTGAGGTTTTCCCTGTTGAGGGGGGCCTGCTGGGGCTGGGCTGGAGGCCGCGCCCCGCGCTCTGCTCCGGGGGCCTCCTCCCTTTCTCTGTCCTGCGGCAGGGAGCCGCCCCGGGCCGCGGGGCTGCCGAACTCCAGTCTCTTCTTCACCTCCTTCTCGCAGAGGGCAGGACCGTCCTGGGGCTGTCTGGCTGGCCTGTGGTCTTGCGCAGGCGCAGCGGCTTCCTCCAGCAGGGCGTCGCGCTCCAGCTCCCCCGGCTGGCCCAGGCCGCCAGCCTCGTCGCCGGGCGAAGGCAGGAAGGGGTCTGAGAGTCGCCGGGAGCAGCAGGGGAGCCCGGGGCTGCCTGCAGCCCTGCCGGGGAATGCCGGCTGGGTGGGATCGCTCGCGCAGGGCAGCCGAGTTTCGGGGGTGCTGTCCAGCGTCTCTGGCAAGGAGTCCCCGGGTCCTGCGGGGTCACCCGCCGGCTGCTGGAGGCAGCTCTCGGCCTGTTGGCGCCACAGCTTGTTGTGCCGCTGTTTGCTGGGGGGAAGAAGGGGGGCGGTGGGTCAACAGAGGCCGCTCCCATGGGCCCAGGAAGGCGGGTGGGAGCCAGCCGGCCAGGCAGGGCCCAAGCCTTGGGTGGGCCCCGGGACCTCACTGCGGCAAAGCCCAGGTCTGCTGATCTGTCCCCAGGAAACTCAAGGACGAGAGAAGTAGCCCCGGGACCCTAGGTCCTCATGGCTCACGAGTCAAGCCCCAGCGCCTCGGCCATGGCGGCGGCCCGGGCGGCCTGAGCAGGGACGCCAGGCCGGGCCCGCCCCTGCGGCCCCATGCCCATCTCTTTTTGCAAGCTCAGGCAGGCCACTGACTGTCCCTCTCTCTGTGCCTCTATCTGTCCACTCAGAAAGCTCATCCCTGCTGATCACGCTGCAGGGAATGAGGCGGTTGGCGGGGCGTCCTGGAGATGGGGACACCCGATGCAGCCCCCCGAACATGTGATGCGTGTGAATTAAGGTGGGAGAACCCCCGGAAACGGGAAATTGTTCAGACTGGAGACTCCAGGTTAGTCTTAAAAACGTCTGCCGCGCCACGGTTGTTTCCATAACACAGTTTACAAACAGAGAAAAGCGAAAGGGCTCGACAGCAAGGGACACCAGCAAGCAGCTCCGACGCCAGGGTGTGCGAGGCGGGGCGCGGGGGGCAGGGAGGGGGGGCTCCTGCGCCTGGGGCGAGGCGCCACGGGACCTCACTGCGGCAAAGCCCAGGTCTGCTGATCTGTCCCCAGGAAACTCAAGGACGAGAGAAGTAGCCCCTGGACCCTGGGCGTGGCCTGCCCCACTGCACGTCCCGGAGAGGCCCAGCCCCCCACGGGCCAGCTCCAGGTGGATGCGTGCTGTTGGGGACCCGGCCTGGAAGCCCCAGATGGGTCTCGGGGCGCCAGCCCTGCGGGCAGTGAGAGCGGGGCTGAGGGTGGAGAGCAGCACGCACTCCTCCTTGTCCTCAGCCCGCAGGCGCCCTCTGGTCGACACTGAAGGCGGCCAGGGCTGTTCTCAGATGCCGCTCAGCCCTGCAGCGGCTCCAGCTTTCCTGCATTCACGCTGGGAAGCAGGTGCAGGCAGCCTGTGGCTTCTCACAGCAGCCAGAAACGGTCCAGCCAGGCCTCACCCAAACCGCACAGAAAGGGGACAGGGAGAAGGCGGGGCCGACTCCAGAGGGGACACCCCACTTCTGCTCCAGCTGTGGGGTGGAGCAAGGTAACGCCCACGGGGGTGGCGGGTACTTTGTGGAGCTTTTCCAGGTGGGGTTAGTTAGCGGGCTACAGGGCAGTGACGTCACTACTCGCTGTGCGCGAGGACGAGTGACGCCCGTAAGCGCCTCTGACTCTCCCACGCCCACCGCTGTAGTCGCAGCTCAGGCCAGGCGGCCGGGGCAGCGGGGCGCTGCGGCCCTCGGCTCTGCCCCTGCAGTCCCTGGAGCCTCCCGGCCACGAAGTCTGGCACCAGCTCGGCGCAAAGCAGGTGCCTGGGGACGGGACACCCACGCGCCCGTGCCGAGGCTGTGCCCAGGATTAGAAGTCAGGCACCATCCGCTCCGCCAGCAAAACAGCTTTCTGTGTGCGCCAACAAAATCAAAACAGGCCCCTTCTGGAAACCGCTAATCAAACCTCAAACAATAGTTGTTTTTTCGAAACGGCTCCCCCCAGCGAGGCAGGATGGTGGCCGAGGAAGCCCCCGCCAGGCGGAGGGCAGCGGGCGGGGCGCAGACTGCGCCGGCCAGCTCGGGGCAGGGCTGCTCCGCGCGGCCCCGCCAAGCTGCCCTCGGACGGTCACCCACCTGGCGTCCAAGATGCCTTCATACTCGGACAGCTGCCGCATGAAGCCTGCGTTGGGCCGTGTGATGCTCCGCCGCTGCTTCACGTAGTCGTACGCCTTCTCCAGCGGCCAGCCGAACTCCTTCATGGCGTAGGCTATGACCGTGGAGGCCGACCGACTGACGCCCATTTTGCAATGCACCAGACACTTGGAACGGTTCCTCCTGCCAGGGCAGTGAAAAAGCACCAACAACTTCATTCTCTCAGGTTTGACCCAAGGGAGTTTTTTAACCCGAGTTATCTCAGGGCCCAGGTCCTCTGTGTCCTGGTGTTTACGCAGCACATGTCTACACACCCTCTACAGGAAATACCTTGGCTGCAGAATCAATTAGCAAATGGGAAATCGAGATAATCTGTCTCCGTGTCTAGCCAAGTTTTGCCTGCACAGAGCCCCCAAACTGGGCTGCCTTTGGGGACAAAGTGGGGGTCCTCTCACAGCCGGGGATAGGCCAGGAGACCAAGAACTCTTTTGCTTGAGGCAACTGGGAAGCTGAAGGGATAGCTGCAGAGACCCCTGAGCCCTAAGAGCACAGAGTGACAGCGGAGGGATTCCTATAAAAATAAAAGGGGCCAGGCCCTCCCTGGCGGCTCGGCGGGTTAAAGCAGAGCACTGAGCAGCGAAAGCCACTTCCGCATGAGTTGGACCCCCGCCCCCGAGCTGACCCACTGGCCCGGCAGACCTCTCCTGACCCGCCCACTGCTCGCCCACTGCTCCCCTCAGCAGTGTGCTTCCTCAGTCGGCCTATTCTGCTCCCCTCTCTGTCTCTGGTGAAGCCTCTCACTGCCCCTGCACCTCTGGCCTGTACCCCAGTTCTGTATGCACAAAAGGGGGCCAGCTCATCTAAAGCAGCAAGGAGAGTGAAATACTTGGAGACATGAGGGCCACGCAGCCAGACTTGACCACAAGGAAGAGAAGCCTGGGGAGGCGGGCTGGGCCCACTGGCCAGGAGGCGGTCCTGGCCCAGGTGCGTCCGTGCGGGCACGGCATGGTGTTCCTCCAAGCACAGCGGCTCCAGAAGGCGAGGGGGCAGCCGGCGGCACCTGGGAGACTTTATTTGCACAGGAGGCAGACCCACCAGGCTGCCTGTTTATACCACACAGCCTGCCTGCCAGGTGGGAGCAGACTCACTTCTTGTACCCAGTGCTTACACCGCAGCCCCCAGTCAAGCACAACCTCCCCACCCCCACCCCCAAGCTGCTAGTCTGAGTCTATTCCCCTGGAATGCAAACAAAGATTTGTAAGGACATGTTAGGGCAGCTTTGACCTGGAGGGCTGCAAAGCCGACAATGGTGTTTCGCTTGATAGCATCGCCAAGGGTTATCTGTCTTGATTTCAGTCAGACACAGTTGCTCCACAGGAGAATAGGAAAGGGGGGACAGGGAGCTGTGGCAGGCTCAGGGGCAGGAGGCCCCTGTGGTCTGCTCACTCCACTCAAAAGGGGACACTGCACAAGACAGGTGAGAAGGCCAGTCACGAGCAGACCCCTCTGGGGAGCCAAGGTGCTCCAGCCCGGGCCCTGCCTCCCCATCCTTGGGCTCAGTGACCCCCGGGGGCAGAGAGCTCCCGAGTGTCCACTGGGGGTCAGATCCTCGCCTGCGACCAGTATTGATGCGAGGGGGGGTCACCTGTAACAACAAGCTCATTGGGGGCCGACACCTGGAGATCAACAACCTGGCCCCTTTGGTGTTCAGGGTGCTGGAGTCGAAAGCAAGGTCCATCGGACACCAAAGGCTCCACAGGCCAGGGCCTGCATTGGCCCTCCTGCATCTGCCAGTCAGCGCCAAGCCCCCCGCCCGCCATGGTTTCTCCCCCACTCACTTGGCTTTGTTTATGAAGTGGTACGCCTCGTTCCAGTGGGCCAGGAGGTCTGTTGTTTCTTCATCATAGACACGGATGTTATGATATGCAAATAGGCCAGGAAAAAAATTGTCTATTTCTCTAGTGACATTTAAAATGTAGTCAACACTGTGATGGGGAAAAAAAAGAAAGAACAAATCTGGAAAATCAGAACCAGCAACAAGAAGAAACAACGTGACAAAAAGCTGGATAGAGAAAAAATTAAGTCCACATGAATAGAGTACATGGTTATGGTGGGACTTTTGTTTTTCCTTAATATTTTTTTTTTGTATTTTCTAAATACCCTCTATATGGTGAGAATGGTATATTTATAATAATAATAATAATAATAACAATAACAATAATAATAATAATAATAAAACACTTCTAAAATAATAAAACACTTCTAAAAGAAGCCTCAGTTCAAGGAGTTGGTAAGCAAGTCAGTTTTGGAATGTAAATATAAATATCAAATCCACCTTCAAAATTCATAACTATTATGAGTATACAGAGGCTTAAGAAAGCAAAGCCTCTACTTTTAAATAGTTAAAAAGCAAAATATAGCCATTCATTATTTATGTCTTTGGGAAGTGACTTAAATCCTTGTTGAAGGCTATAAACAAATATCTGAGAAGGTCTGCTAATCCAGGTCGGTGGTCTCTAAACTTAACACTTATATTCCAGGGAGATCATGTTAGGAGTTAATAAAATACCGCAAATAAAATCCATAGAATACTTAAACAATGCTTTTAAAATAAGTACCTTTAAAAATTATTTCCAGTATAAGAGAAAGCATAAGACAGCGGCACCTGAGATTTTAAGAATACTTTCTGTTGAAGGACACATCTTAACCAGCAGTTCCAAAGATATATTTTAAGATTTGTTTAGTCTTGACTTTCAAATGCAGTAATTCAAGAATGCCAACATGTCAGACTCACAGGATGGTGATTTTGTGGCTGTATTGGTTTAAAAAAAATGTCCAGACATCTGTTCTTGAAGGTCTAGATTTAAACATTTTTTTTTTTTTTTAATTCCTTCTGCTAGATATTTCTCAGACTAAGGAAGCCATATGCTTCTGGCCAACACTGAGGATTTAGCTGCAAGACTCCCACTAGACTCAAAAGGATAATCTCTGGCAGAATTGGGCCGGTCCGGGGATGGAGCGGCAGACTGCCCAGAAGGTAGGACCCCGTCCGTCCCTAGGACTCCCCAGCTCTGCAGAGGGGCGGTGGGAGGGGCTTGTGACCCTAGCAGCACCCAGCTGCCCTATACCACGTGAGTGCGATTTAAAATCATTCTCCCTAACATACGCCATCACACTAAACCCCTGAAAAATCTAAACTCCATGAATTACTTAGGAGGTAGCATTTGGGAGCACGTATGTTTAGTTATGCAAATCAGCTGGGCACTTGCAGTCCTTCACCCAGAGGCAGCCCTGGGGTTTTCTCCTCCTGGAAGGGCGGGAGACAAGGGGCACAGACTCACCCTGAGCCCTGCAGCTCCTCCAGGTTGGATGCATTCCATTCAGAGCCCTGGGGGACAGATCACACAAACTCCCGTGAGTGTCACATGCCAGCCTCAGCTTCTCCCCGGATGCTGTGTGCCCCAGGCCATGCTGGCGGTTAGTCTGAGGCCTCCTGCCTCAGATGCCTCAGAGAACAGAGCAGCAGCTGATATCAAAGCCAACTCCCAGGCATTTGCACCATGTGTGAAGCCCTCACCAGCCCTTTGGCCTCCAGGGACTAGTACGTTCCAGAAAACCTGCTCTCTGTCTCTGCTCTTTCTTTCTTAAGACCCTAGCAGAGTTCTGGAAGCAGGGGCAGTGATCTCTGACCTCCCACACAGGAGAGGACACTGTCACGCTAATTAAAGCAGAAGCCCACTGGCCTCTCTGGCTTCCCTTCTGGCGACTTTAGAAAAGTTGCTGCCTTCCACCCAGTAATTCCGCTTTCAAAAAGCTACCCTGAGGAAGTACCCAGAATTTACAAAGAGATTTGTGTAAAGGGTACTTACAGCTATTCATGGTAACAAAACTGGAGATAACTCAAAAGATTCAACAAGAAACCGGTAAAGTAAGAGATGACGGATCCATAAGATAAACACTGCTTTTGGAGGCCCCAGATGGCACCGGGAAACAGCACGTAATGAAGACCTTCCTCAGGTCCGCAGGGGCCAATCCACAACAACATAGACAACTACACACAGAGCCACATAACTCTACATGTAACTACACACAAACTGCGGATACGGTGTATGAGGCTGAATACATGTATCGACCATGTGTGTGGAGTGGGCGCTTTCCTCTGAAGAAGCTGCACATACATTTAAAAAAGCAGAAGATGGCAAAATACCATCTGCATTCACCAAAACGTTAACATTTGACAATTTCTAGATTTGTGAAGCTGGGAGTGCTTTTATTTTCTTCTTGAGACTCATTTCTGTATTTTTAAACTTCTCATACTATGCTTTCAAATGTATTTAAAAAAACAACAAAAAATTTTCTGGGCACGGGAACATGGGAAGGAAGAAAAGCTAAGAAACAATACGGCTTTGTCCTTAGGAAATGCAAACCAAGACTCACCAGAGCAGGGACCCCTGCCTAGGTGTCCCCGTGCATTTCCTTTCCCAGAGGTCCCCGGGACCCCTGGGGTGCAGGGACTGCAGGGCCCCCATGCAGCTGGCAGTGTGGGTGAAGCTAGATTTTCATAATTGAGGGAGAGGCTCAAACATAAAAATTCCTTTAGTATCTCTCATGGAAAAAATGACATAAAGCACCAAACCACGCCGAAAACAGAAGCAAAGCGCCACTAAGGCTGCGGCCACCACCTAGTGGAGAGACAGACAAGGAGAGTCACTCCCACACGGCGGTCAGCGGATGGGCTTCCTCACGCCTCTGCGCGCCCGTGACGTAAACTACCCAGGGGACACGCACACAGACTAACAAAGGGAATGCACGAAATGTATATTTATGCTCTCTATGTAACACGTTAAATACCTATCATGACGGCTTGGGGAATCATCAGTGACTCCCAACAAAAACTGGAAGAGAAAACCACCATGCCTTCAGCAGCAGACGCACTTGCTCAACTTTCCCAGCAAGTGATTTCTGCTCTGATGAGGCACCTCGGAAATTACACCCAGTGCTCAAATACATACGGCACTAATCCTCGCCAGCGCCGTGAGGGGCCGCGTGACTCACTCAGGACGAGACAAAGACTCGCTGCAGTCACGCTGGGGCTGGGCCGGGAGCGGGACTTGCCTGGTAGGTCTGACTTCCACCACCCCATGCTGCCTCTCTAATTTTAGTAACGTGCCTGCCTCGATAGTCTTTGACTTTGAAACCCTGCCAGTTGCCTTCTATGGTGATTCACAGCATTCAGAAAATCTGGGCGAGAGATGGCGACCCGCATGGCCCGCCCACAGCTGCAGCACCAGGGCGATGCCCACCAGGCCTGGGGGCCCCGGTGCAAGGCGTTAGCCCTCGCGGAGGGATCTGGATGGGACTGAAGTGACTGGGGAGAGTCTGAAAAGGCTGCCAGGATGATGTCAAAGAGCTTTCAAACAACTCCCCTGGGCTCAGCTGGGAGCCACATTGCGGCGGGAAGGGGGTCAAGCAGGGAGTGTCCATGAAGAGTCAGGACTGAGGCTGTAGAGTCAAGCGTCTGCTATCTGACTCGCAAGCGCTAGACAACCGAGGTCTGACTCCGCTCCCCAAACCAGACCCTGCCACACGCTGGGCCTCTTACAAGATAAAGGTGATCGAAGATAAGGGAGGGCTTGTCCATCTGCCCTAAGATAAGCAGCATCTCGTTGTCGATGAATTCCTTGAATTCTTTCAAGTTACAGTTCATCTGCTTTTCTAATTCATTACGGATCTGTGGAATGGAAAATATTAGGAAAAGTGACCTGTGCAAGAAAACAGCTGTCAACTGCAAAGTAGTCACATCACAATGGGAACTCCTGATGTTTTCAAAAAAGGCCCTCCCCCTCAGCCCCCGAATAAACACATGTCCGTCTAGACACAGGATAGAAGTGCAGGTGGCAGGGTCCAGTCTCAGGCTGTCTGGGGAAAGCGTACTATTATTTCAAACCCAAATTCCCATGGGACCTTTGCAACTGAGTTTAAAACACCCGCTTACAATTAGGTATAACACACCACAGTGAAAACCCAAAATTGCTTTGGGAGGTACCACAGTACAATTCTCTAAAAGTATAAATGAATAAAATAATTGCATATGACTTTTCGACTGGCAATTTCAATCTCCCAGATCTACCTAGTTTAGGCTGTTATAATTCTTTGCTTGAAAAGGAACTAAATCAAGAAAGAAAGTGATACAGAGAAACAGGAAAAGGCAGGTGAAAGACAGTCCAGGGCTCGTAACCTGCTCAGAAGCTGTGATCCTGGAGAAATAAGAAATTGCTGCATCTCGATTAAAACGTGCGAGGAGAGGCCAAAAGGGGCCGGCAGACAACCGGCGCAGCGTCTTCAACTCTCAGCAAAGGCCTCACGGGCTCAGAGAGGTCAGGAGAGTGACCCAAGGCCACACAGCAACAGGGACTCAAAGGAGGTTTGGGGTCCAAGGGCTGCTGCTGTTTCAGAATGGGCCGGGCCGGCGGGGGCAGGTGAGCCCACCAGGTGCCGGCTGCGCCCACGAGCTCCGGGCGGCAGGACAACCGACAGCCTCGTGGCCTGCTAGAAGGTCAGCTATCTTACCTCTTTGGAGGTCACGTTTTCTAGGTCCTGGCTCATCATGATGCTCCGGAGTTTGGCTTTGATGAGGCGCTCGGTCCTCTCCCCTTCAGTCGGCCTGGAGAGGAGTGACGCGTAGGGAAGCGGAGCTCTGGGAAGCCTGAGGTCAGAGCTCCCCAGCACCAGATGCTTCCGGCTAAACTTAAAGTGTCGTTCCAGAAAAGGGGGGCAGCTCCCCCCTTCTCTCATTGCTGGGACCCCCCCTGCCAGTGTGTTGTGTCCTGGCACACAGTACAGGAGAGGGCTGCGGGCAGAGGGAGCACCCTGAATGAGCAGAGGACTGGAAGCCACTCGCTCCGGGGCCTCAGAGGAGTACAAGCCAGCTGCGGAGCTGCTGGTCACGCCGCCGGGGTTCACCTGACAGGCACGGGCAGGCGCCTTGGTCTGTGTGGGGGCGGCTGTGTTCTGGGGTCCAAGGGACCAGGGACATATCCATGACCTTCCCAAGAGCAGAGGGAGCAGCTCCCACGCTGGGTCTCTGGCAACCTCAACGGGACAGGCCAGACCACGGAGCACTGCCCAAGAGCCAAAGGAGCAGTGGGTCGCGAGTCCCTTGGCGAATCTGACGGAAGCTGGGCCTATTCCTTGGGGCAGTGGTCTCTGGCCCTCCCCCCAACTGAAGACCACTGGGCAGCAGCTCAGCAACCTCTGCTTGAGGTGCTGAAACAAACTCCTGGGAGTGGGCTGGGGGCCCCCCGTGGGCGAGGCGGCGCTGGACCTACTTGTCCACAAACAGGGCTGGGGAGTCGGGCCGCGCGGACTCCAGGTCCTGCATGGCGTTCCACTCGTTGAGGCAGCTCTGCTCCGAGCTGATGCAGCTCTCGTAGTAGGTGGCCCAGATGAGTGCCACGCCCCCGGGGAAGTAGTTGTGCCGCCGAGCCACGTCACAGGCCTTGTGGAGGACCTGCAGGGCAGACCTGGGTGAGGAGGGACAGCGTCAGGCCTGGGAGCACAGGAAGCTGGCAGGCTCCCCCCTCAAAAGGTTCACATGAGGCGGGGGAAGGGGCGCAGGGAGACTGCCCTGGAGCTGCTCTTCCATAGAAGGGGGGTGCACAAGGCAGCCTCGACTGACAGCCTCCAGGAGCAGAGCTGCTTCCCCTGACACGCAGAGTGGACAGTGCAGCCTTCACCACTCCAGACGTGGACACCGAACAGGCCAGCTCACAGGCATTTCTCGTTCCAGTGAGAGCCCCCTTAAGATTTACTTCTCTGAACAGAGGTGCCACAGCTCAGTCCAGCAGTCAAAAGAAAGCACCAGAAGCCTTTCTGCATGCTGAATAACTCAATTTCTATGCTCCGATGTTTTGATTTCCTAAGGCAACGAGATCTAGAAGTTCATTTTGATACAGGCGGGTGTGGGTGGGGGCAGGTAGCGCGGATGAGATGATACTGAACACGTATATGGTAATGGTCAACCTAGTCTTTATAAAAATACAGATGTGAGTGGGCTGTGCCAGGATCAAGAGGCAGGAGGAGAGCCACCTCGGCGGAGCAGCGGCTGCGGGCACTGAGGGCCACGCCACGCTCCCGCCCAACTATCTTCAGTTCTGGTCCTGAAGTCTTGGAAAAACATGTGGACCTATTTCTTTATTTGCACAGAGAGGGGAAGATAACAAATTACCCAGGGACACAAAGAAACCATCTGGAACACGTACAGAACGATAATTTCACGATCTGCCCAAGAATGGACTGTAGCGTGGTGACAGAGGGAGAACAGGGCTGTGCTAGGATGTGTTCCTCAGGAGAATACCGCAGAAATCTTGCTGTCCCCGGGAAAGGAACATTTATCCTGAACCCTGGGCAGAACTCGTCTCCAGGAGTCACAGCTTCCTCCAGAGTCGCCTCCAGATCACATGCAAGAATGCAGCGTCTGCTTCCTGTCTCCCGGGGAACCAGTGCCCAGCAGAGTTCAGGCCTTCGGGAGCAGAGGGCTGTTGTGCACCAGCACAAGCAATGATGCCAGATGACATTTTTACATTGTAAAAATTTGTTTTTAAAGATTTGTAAAAACAGCGCACTTTCAACAAAAACAACCCAAAGACTGGCCAAAGGACCCGAAAGGACAGTCCTCCAAGGGAAGCACAGAAATGGCCTATTAATAAGCACATAAAATGCTTCTTGCCATTTGTTAACTGGGAAAATGCAGATCAAAGCCTTGATGATCTGCACCCATCACGATGGCTACTACTTCTAGTAAAAGGGCAAAATCAAGCTTGCAGGAGGCTGTGGACAAACTGGAACCCTCGCACATGGCAGGTGGGGTCACTAATGGGGAGGCTGCTATGGGAAAGTTTAGTGGCTTCTCTAAAAGTTAAATGTGGAATTACCATGTGATCGAGAAATCCTACTTTTAGAAGTTTCTCAAAATATTAAAAATAGATGTACCACGTGATCCAGCAATTCCACCCCCAGTTATCTACCCAAAGAATACAATAATACTAGTTCAAAGGTATAGGGGCACCCCTATGTTCACTGCAGAGCTATTTACAATAACCAAGAAGCTATGGAAATAACCAAGTCTGCAATGACAGACTTGTGGAATACGATGTGACATATACACACAAGAGAATATTACTCAGCAATGAAAAAGATTGAAAACTTGCCATTTGTGACAACATGGGTGGAACTGGAGAGGATGGAGTCAAGAGAAATGTCAAAAAGAGACTGACAAATGACTTCACCCATGTGGAATACAGAGGAATAAAACAAAGGAACGGGAAAAACTCAAAACAGGCCCTAGAATCATGACTGTAGATCCGAGGCTACTGGAGTGGGAGGAGGAGCTGGGAAGAAAAGGAGAGAGGGAGCCCCTGGATTAGGGTGAGCTGGCAGTGGGTGTGCAGACAGAGGGCAGAGGCTCGAAGAGAAATTTTGCTTTCCAGCGCTGATAGCAGCCAAAGGATGGAAACAACTCAATGACCACAACGGAAAAAAAGATGAACAGTCTCTCCACACAGGGCAGGATTATTTAGAGAGCAATGGATCTCTGGGCCGTGGCACAGCACAGGTGAGCCCTAGACGCGGTATTAAGTGAAAGGAGCCAGGCAGCTAATCTCAGAGGTATCTAGAGTAGGCAACTTCCGAGACCAGAAGCGCAGCAGGGGTTCCCGGAGCCTGGGGGAGGGGCAGGAAGTTACTGTCTTGTAAGCACAGCGTTTCTGTTTGGAATAATGAGAAAGCTCTGGAGACGGACAGTGGGGATGGTCGACTAACATCGTGAACACACTTAATCCCACTGGATCGTGCACTTAACCGAAATAGTAAATTACATGCTATATATACTTTACCACACACACAAAATGTACACATCTAAATGAGTTTCTAAGTAGAAGAGGATTTTCTATGCACTCCTGTCGGCCAGGAAAGTGTTTCTAAGGAGATCAGGTCCTTACCACATGGCCTGGACGGACACAGGCTTAAAGACATGCATCCTTCCTGCTGTGCTGACGCTGAAACCACTGGGAACAAAAAGCAAAGAGAGAGATGCCGTGGTGAGGAGCAGCTGCTGACCGGTCACCGCAGGACCCCAGGGCAGGCCCTGCACGGCACCCCAGGGCTGAGCGCCTCGCACTCCGGCGAGTCTGGTGAGAGCCTATGGGCCTGCTGCCTCGGAGACAAGGTAAAGTGAAAGAACCAAGATAAGCTCTCAAATCTCTAAGGCCTGCTTTTAACTCAGCAAAGCCAGTCCTGCCGAACACCGGACGCTCAGCCACGTGTGCGAGCAACGAGGGCCTTGGAAGCACCGGTCACCTGGGTTCCAGCAGCAGCCCTGGCCCACCTGCCACCCCCTACCTCCCACGCCCCTACCTGCTACCTCCCATGATACCTATTTGCAAGTGCATGAAGAATATATCAGTGAAAGACAATTAAAACATGGGAAATGCAACCAAAATTCCACTACTTCAATCCAACTTTTACCTTTCCCTCCCAGTTCTATGAGGCAAGGGGACTTTCACAGGCGGACACCTAGGGTGGGGACACTCCCCTGTCCTGCTTCCCCTACGCACCCTAGCACCGACGTCCTCCCCGCAGGGGCGGACACCAGAGGAGCCTGATGCCCGCATCCGCCTACCTGTTAAGGGGCTACCCTTACCCGTCTCCATCGAGGTGGATCTTGGTGTCGCTCCAGAGTCGGAGAACCATCCCGATGGTGCAGCTTTTACTGGTTGGGCGGAAGGAGAGAGTTCAGTCTCAGGGCCCACCCTCAGGGGTGCCGTCGCCCCGTCTCCCCGCAGAGGGTCGAGCTGGCGGCGCGCCTACCCCTCGGTGGGTCGCTGTGCATCTGAGCAAGATTCTGAGGTTGTCTGGGTAGGGCCACTCTCCGCAGTGTCCCAGAGGACACAGGTCTGGAGCTGCCACGATATCCCCGCGTGGGGATGGCCACAGACTGCTCTGACCCTGCTCCTGGTGTGGACGTGGCTCCGGGAACACCTGGTCTCAGCTGCCACTCTCGAGAGCCAGGGTCCCCCGGCTGACCGCACACCCCACTGCAGCGGGGTGAAGCTGCTGGCGGCCAGCACATACCTGGCAAGAGGCCACGCTCACCCGGGAGGCCACGGGCACCAGCGCCACTACTGGGGCTCGCTTCCTGCACGTTTTAAATCGAGCCTAGCCTGCCTTTGTCTCGCCCATCCTAAATGTGATACGATACTTATCGATGGTAGAGGCTGGCGCCGCTGGAAAACACAGAGGGGAAGAAAAGGTTTTATCAGGCCTCCTCACATTATTACGAAAATTCTTCAGGCATTTAACCACCTGTCAGCTTGAGAGGAGCCACTGTCACTGTGCCAGGGGCCAGCTCTGACCGCCTCCAGGGGTCTGGAGTTTGCATCTCTGCTTCCACTTAGCGTGCCCCGAGGGCGCAAGCTACACGTGCCACCTGCAGACAGGGCGGCTTGGGCTCCTGGCTGGCTCCTTCTCCAGAGCATCAGCAGCTCCTGGATCTGCGGGGACGGGAGTCTTGAGTCCTCTAGGCCAAATCAGACTAAAGCTCTCGTGTGGGCAAATCCCTGGCCGCACCCTGCAGTCCCACCCCTCCATCACTGGCCAGTTGTATTTCTTCTGCTGAGCTGCAAAATAACATTTCCACTGAACCTCAGAGCTAGATCAGTGCTACAGAGAAGCGACAAGGGGTGGGGGGCTCAGAGGCCAGGTCTCAGGGTACCCCAGGAGCACGTGGGCGGCCAGGGAGACCTGGCCTCCTCAGCACTGAATGCTGCCCGGAACTGGTCATGCAGGGAGAAAACATCGCCGAGCTCCCCGGGCACAGATGGGGCCGTGGGTGCAGGCCGAGGGCCTCCCTCCGGGCAGGCAGAGCTGAGGGTCAGGCTTGGCCACCCCCAGGAAACGGGTGGCATCTAAACCAGCCTCCGCTAGGCACAGAGCTGGGCCAGCGCCAGCGAGGGCCAGCCGCCAGGGCAGACGTCCACGTCCACAGAGGACTGGCACCCGTGGTCTCCTCCTGAGTCAGGACCAGGGCCCAGGGTGCAACTTCCAAGGCTCCCTGACGTGTCCCTGTGAGCTCCGGGTGTCCCGCAGCGTCAGCACGGAGGCGGCCGTGAGTGCCCACTAGGAGAAGCAGGGCGGGCACGCGGTAAGGGAGGTGGGGTTCCTAGAGGAGAATGGCCCGAGGGCAAAGCAGGGGAGCTCGGTGATGGGACAAGGACATTCCGTCCGGAGCCCGCAGGGTGGGCAGAGGGGCCCACGTGGGTCCCAGGCCCGCACGGGGTGCTGACCGTAAACACCAAGCAGCAAGCAGTGTGCTGCTGGCGCTCGGTGGCCCTGGGCCTGAAGGAGCCCCCGACGGAGCGTGGGGTGGCTGCGCAGCATCCCCAGGAAGTGAGGGTGCAGGACTCTGTGGCCGGTCGCCCACCCAACTCTCTCGGACACGCTGTGGTCTCCGGCAAGGCCACTGAAGCCTGGGGGCAACGCTCCCTCTCGCTATCTCTTTCGAGCTCTCTCTTGTGGAGTAAGGAAACAAAATCTCAGGCAGGAATTCAGGAAAACAAGCCTATCTTGGTCTCAGCAGACTGAAGGCTGCTGGCGAAGACAGGGCTTTGTTTACCAGCCAGGGTGAGGAGCACCGGAGTGTGGGAGCTGCAGAGCCCAGCGGCCCCCGCCCCCGCATTCGCAGGGCATCGACCCGACAGGCAGGCCCACCTCGTTTCTGGTGCCCTGCCGCTCTCTGCCGTCCCTCCAGCCACCCCCCTACCACGGCACGCCAGCCCCAGCCTTGGGGTTCCCGGCTGCACACAGGCTATGGTTCAGGGTGGGAGGGCAGCGGGGATGCCGGCTTGAGGGCAAGAGAGTGGTGCAGGCCAGGAGGACCCGGGTGGGGGTGGGGGGGAGGGGGTCGGGGAGGAACAGAGCCAGGCACGAGGGGAGGCAGAGGCGGCAGCGCGTTTCAGGTGGGTGAGGATACGCTCGCCGAGGTGTCCCCTCCAGCTGGTGGGGACTTTGGGTGTGTGCCACGCCCGTGACTCCAGCTGGGAGCTCGGAGAGCGGAGGCTGGGTTCTCTCACGGCTGTGGGCGCCCACCCTGCCAGGGCCCAGCACAGGAAGCGTGTCCACAAGCACATTGGCAGCAGGTTTCAAAATGACTTGCCGAGCGAGGGGGTGTAGAGGGGAGAGGGAGGGAAGGACGCGGTCACCGCTGCGGGCTGCAGTAAAAGCGAGGCCGCCGGCGTCCCGAGCTCCTGTCTGTAAGCACCAGGCACCTGCCTCACAGGCGACTCTGGATATTTGGGACCGTTTTGTTGACATCACTGCGCTCTGCAGCTGAAGCCACGGGAGGGGAGGAGGCCCAGCCCCGAGGCTGAGGGGTGGCCCCCCCACAGGGAGGAGGCTGGCGTTTAGGGCGGAGTTGTGGGCGGGATCTGAGGGAAGCTCCTGCCACGGGGCAATCACGGGGAGGAGAAACGTAGAGGCCACGCTGTTGGGCACCAAGAGGTCTCTGCCCCTGCCTGACCGTGCCTGTCTGCACCTCCTGGGGCTCGTGGAGCCCCCCCACTGGGACAGACGGGATCCCCAGCTGCCCGAAGCCTGGAGGCCAGCCTTGGCGGCCACCACCTTTCCTGCTGCCACACACACACAGGCAAGGCAGTGGCCAAGGGAAAGTCCTTCCTCTCTGTCCATTTACTTGTGACACGCAGACTCCTGGGGGCTGCAGGCACCCCACTCGCTGCTCTCCCTGAGCAAGGCCAGGCGGCCGCCGCGCCCCCAGCCACGGCCTCGGTCACTCCCGCCACAGGTCTGCCCGAAAGGCCTTCAAACACCCCGCCCCTGAATCTGCCCAACTGCCCACTGGTCCCCGAAGACCGCTCAGTCACCGCAGGCCCCAGAAGCCCACCAGGACACCCTCCGCCCCGCTGTGCTCCCCAAGCTGCACGGCTTCATGGTGCTGATGGCCGAGGTGCCTGGCGGTGCTTCCCTCCCTCCTCGCTTCGTTTAGAGGCTCCCCGAGGTCCAGACCTGGTGCTGTGATGCTTCTTTGTTAGCCTGGGCCCACCCTACTGCCTCATACACAAGAGAATGCCACGAATCGTTTGCTTAATGAATGACGAATTAAGGGAGTCTACTTTAATCCAGTTGTAACACCCAGGTTTTGCAACGACCTCACGGGCATTAATTCACCCAAATGTTAGAAAGCTGTTCACCCTCGACTCACACACATCATAGGGGCTAAGATGTAAAGAACCTGGCCTCCGGTTATTGGGAATTTTAAACCTCTCTGAAGGTCCCGTCGCATGTCGCTGGGAATTCAGAGTATCAATACGGGCGAGGCGCTGGCAGGGGCACCCATCACCCCCCACCGGCCACCCCATCCGCCTCTGGGCGTCCTCTCTGGTTGACTCCTGCTGACCCTGGGGTCTCCCCTGCAGCCGCCACCTCCTTCTGTTGTAACCCTGACAGTACCAGCGTGAAACCTCTCAATGTAATGTCTCTGGCCTCTCAGCAGGCCCTGGGATGAGAGCAGAGACGGAATCTAGCCCAGCCCCCGAACCTGGGAGCTGAAATGGCGTGGCTGTGGTCCCCACGGCCTGGTCACCCCACCACCCACCGTCACACATCCCACTGCCCTCCCCCGGTACAGGGTATGGGCGCCCTTTCTAGCAGCATCTTGCCTGCTGGCCAAGGAGCTGCTCCTCCCCTCCCCCCACCAAGACTCACCTTTCCTTACTGGAAAAGTCCACCCCCAGCAGGATGCTCTCTTCTGTGTCCTGGCGGCCGCTGCTGCCCACCACCACCATGTACCGGACCCGCTCGGCCCAGGCACTCTCCAAGCGCACGACCTAGACAGGCACAGGATCAAGGTGCTCTCCCCGCCCTCCTGGTAAAGGTGCTCTCCCCGCCCTCCTGGTAAAGGTGCTCTCCGGGGCCCTCCTGGTAAAGATGCTCTCCCCGGCCCTCCCGGTAAAGATTCTCTCCTGGGCCCTCCTGGTAAAGGTGCTCTCCCCCGCCCTCCCGGTAAAGATGCTCTCCCCCGCCCTCCTGGTAAAGGTGCTCTCC